CGTTCAAGACGTCATAAGACTTCGAATGCGTCATCAAGTAAGGGATACGAATGTCAGGCGTGTAGTATCATAGTTTCTAAAACTGACTCAGCGTTTGAATGCAATTTTTACAAACGATGAGTGCACTGCCGTTGTGACAAAGGGGTGCCGAAAACAACTACGAGTTTATAAGAAATAACCCATGCCCGTGGTTTCGGTACATCTGTCCACTTTGTCGCCCTGGCATAGTCCCAAATAGCGTGTCTGCGGATAGCAGAAACAACACGCCGCTCTTGTGTCCCAACACATTCTTATGCAGCTACCACCTGTTAACACCACACTGCCAAAACTTGGCACAGACGGTAAGAGGGACACTCCAGTCCTACTGACTGGAAATGCCAATTTTCACAAGGTGAAGATTCACAAGGTTGCACCCACAACATCAAGGGAATACAGAATTAGAAAAGCACCACTTGCATCCACAAGCAAGCTTGGCAACACAAAAAGGCTGACCAGAACCCGATGAAGCCTAAAGTTGCTGACGCTGCAAAGGAATACAAGAAGCCAAAGGCCGAACCTAAGTCTGAGGTTGGTCGGTCTAATTCTCTTATCCTTTTTAATGTACCTATGAGCAAGGATAGCTTGTTTGAACAATGGGCCCTGCTTGATCAGGAACAGTGGTCCAACCTGTGCAATAAATTAGGTCTGAACATTAGCTCAGTGAAATTGTGCAGACTGTACAGGGGTGTCCACACGCCTCAGGGTAAGTCACCCCCAATAAGAGTTACACTGGACTCTGCCGAAGAGGCCGAAAGAGTACTATTAATGGCTCAGGCACTAGCCATCGATAGAAGTTCGAACATAAGGGTGAAACAAGACAGACCATGGACTATCAGACAAATGCCGAGGGAGTCACCGGAACTGATGCCTTCTACCTCTACGGTGGTACACGGTGTTCCGGAGCTGGAAATGGGCACCGCTTGTGAAAAACACATGCATAACGTACAGCAGTGGAGATGACTGTTATCTCAAACGGCCCTTGGCGCTTCTGGAGCCATCTCCATTTCCCGACTACCTCGCCCCGCTCATCTCACACTAATTGGCTCTCTAAAGCTGCTAAGTGTCACATCCAACTCCCCAGAGCAGTTGGCCATAGCACTTCAATGGTGGTATGAGACCAAGGGAAAAATAGGAGGACATATTCGATGCTGCGAAAGCAGACCCCGAACCATAAGGAGTCAGCAAACTCAGGCTTTAATACGTCCCCAAGCTTCAGTGACGCTAGAGCGATGCAGTTCTGAGAATAACAGTCTGTGTCACCCAAGTGTCCTGCCTAAATCCATGGAAAAAACCACAACGGGCCGGTTTCATCGGAACACGCTGAGGTTGTTACACTCACTGTCAGCTGCCTATATAGCAATACGAGGGGGCTGAGAGGAAAAATAGGTGAAGTCCGAAATCTCTAAGCACACCTACAACTGAAAATGATCATTCCCACTGAAACGTGGCTAACCCCCACTATCGCCGATAATGAAATCAGTATAGGTGATATGGTTCTGGTCAGGAGAGACAGGGGTAATAAGGAAGGAGGGGAAGTTGCTATATCCTTTGACAGGCAACTTAAATGTGTGCGCGCAACGGACCGACCACTTATTGAACTCCCAGACTCCATATGGTGTCATTTCACCGTAGGCCACACCAAGCATCTACTATGGTGGTACCGATCTCCCGCCTGTGGGGCAGAGCACAATCAGCTACTGCTCAGCACTATCACAGGGATACGAGACTTGGGCTATGACCAAATCACTATAGCTGGAGACTTCAATGCCCCATCACTGAACCTTGGCTCGGGGTATGCTAAGAGAAAATTCGGCCAAAATTGACTGCAAACTATTCGAAACACGGGACTGACTGAGAATGTTGGGGGCGACATTAGGTGGGGTCCTAGTGGAAAGTCATTAAAACTAGACTACATTCTAACTAGTGACCAACTACTCGTCCAAAAGGTCCAGATCATGACTCCTCCAGGAAGCAGAGACCATGCAGTCATAGGTATCGATCTCGTGCTCCTTGAGCATTTGCAGTGGGACGTTACGCGACCATGTCTGTGTTGCAGCAAGGCTTACTACGCTGAAATGCGGAGGCTCTTGTCCAACGCAGACTGGCCCTTAGCATAGGATGAGCTATCTGTGGATGAAAACTAAGAGGTGTTAAAAAGGATTATTCATACAGTAATCTCGGATACCGTCCCTTTAGTCACAACACAGCCCAAAAGAAGGTCATCATGGTTAAAGAGAGGCACGCAACGTATTCTGCACGCAAAGCGGAAGGCTTGGTTTACGTGGCGCGTATCTAAGAGTCAAACTGACCACGATGCATACCTGGAACTCAGGAACCGGTGGAATACAAGAGTCAGGAAGGACAGGAGGTCATTGCAGACTAACCTTGCTAAAAAACTCCCAGCAAATCCCAAAAGCTTGTACCGATTCATTTTGGGGCATGCGCCTAAGTAGGCCCAAACAGTCAATAACTCACTAGTCTGAAGATGGCTGAAACATTCAGTTTAGCCTCCGCCAAACAGCTAAACAGTAATGTGGGTATTACCGTCATGGACCAAAACAGTGTCACTACTATTTCACAGGGGGAAGACCTGGTGGCTACTCCCCAAATAAATCCGGCAATAGTACTAAAGAAGCTACAGCGACTCACACCCGGCAAGTCCCCAGGTTGTGACGACATCAGGCTACCTGTTCTGAAACAGTGCGCCGAAGCTCTCTGTAGGTCCTTATGCAACTTGTTCCAACACTCAATGAAATCGAGGAGACGGCCAAGGGAGTGGAAAAAGGCCATTCTATCTCCGATCTTCAAGGGTGGGGATAGGCAAAATACCACTAGTTATTGACCAGTAGCTCTACTCCCAGTGGTATCAAAAGTACTGGAAAGTATTGTTGACGATCACACCAGGGAACATCTTGATAGGGCTTATATACTCCATGAAGCCCAACAAGGTTTCAGGAAAGGCAGATCCTACGTTAATAACCTACTATCAGCTTGGGACGATTGGACATCATGATGGGATATGAATGTTCCAGTCCATGTGGTCTTCCTAGACTTTGAGAAGGCATTCGACACTGTTCACCATGACCTTCTCCTACACAAAATAAGCCAGGTAGGTCTAGGTAAACCACTCCTGTCATGGTTGAAGGACTACCTAACTGAAAGGCAATTTCGCACCAAGGTCAATCGAGTCCGATCATCTTGGCACAGCTCCTCATCAGGAGTGTCGCAGGGTTCTATCCTGGGACCACTGATGTTCTTGATTTTTATCAATGATTTACCATGCCGTCTAAGCTGCCCGACTCTTCTATACGCTGATGACGTGAAGATATGGAGGGCGATAAAGTGTCCGGAGGACTCAGATAGACTGCAGGAAGATCTAAGGCTTCTGGAAGACTGGGCGGTGGCCAGTGGCATGACTTTCAACCTGAAAAAGTGCAAAGTAGTGAAGTTACGCACCTGTTGAGTTCAGAATGCAAGTTACACCCTGTGCAATGAAAGCATGTCTTGCAAAACGTCAGAACGCGACTTAGGTCTAGTTCTAACAGAAAAAATGGACACAAGTGTAAATTACACGGGGGATGTAGCGAGGGCATTTGCGGTCATACACTTTACACACAGACAGCTAGTTCCACTCACTCCTAAGCTCTTTCTAAGGTTGTACAAAACATACGTCAGACTACACCTTGAATTGCATAGTATCATTGCAAACCCACTGCTTAGAAGAGACGCCAACCTCTTGGAAAGAGTCCAAAGACAAAAGGAGTGGTTCCTTTCCGAAATAAACCGTGTGATAAAAGGCTAAAGAAATCAGGCCTATTCACACTTAGCTATTGTCGTCTTAGGGGGGATTTAATTACTGCCTACAAAATAACAAATTACCAGAGTCACCCAAACAAAGCTGTTCTGTCATTGCGTAGGTATAGGCTTCCTCATGGAAATCCCAGAAGGATAGCTCACCAGAGGGCAAGGACCCGGGTGTGTCCCCACTTCTTTTCACTTTGGGTTCGCTGTCCCTGGAACTCTTCACTGGTAGATTTAGCTACTGGAATATCTGTGGGCAGCTTTAATCGAAGGATGGACAATCATGCAGCGACTCAATGACTGCGTCTAAATGGCATATCCCCTTAAAATCGCATACACCATTCAGGGGTAGACAAATGAACTTGTCGTTTTACTTCTTTATATTCTCTGCCGTCTCAGCCTTCTGACAGCTTTAACTACACCTATTATTATAATTATCATTATTACCGAGATATATATATATATTATTCATATTATTCTTCAAACTCAATCAGCGGACTGTTTTTACGTTTTCTTATTCTTTTTCTCTCTGTTAGTCTGAATAACTTCACTAATGATATCTACTATTATTGTTATCTCTTTTCTTTTGACGACGATACCAGAGGACTAACTGGTGAAAGGATCAACTCCATTCACAGTAGTAACAGTCTTAACACACCTCATACTACAAGCAAAATATAATTAATCCCAGCACTAATCCTTTTGGAGTCAACCAAATCTACAACAGTCGAGTGGCAGGACGAGCTACGCAGAAGTTTACCAAAGATCAGGAGTCTATACATCACAATCAAGAGGCGAGCACAAAGAAATCAAATTGGTTTATACTAGCTCGTAAAAACGATAGTGGATCCCTGATTGTGAAAGCAATATAATTAAGTTTTGATGCGAATTCATTAACAGTAAATACCAGAATTTCTTAAAGATCATGCAAGGTATTCGTTATTCCAATGAATGAACAAGGAATTTTTCATTTTGTGTGTAGGTCACGGCCATACTTAATTGCACCATTAAAAGTCCATCTGATTTGTAAATGCGTTAAGTAACAAAGGGCGAAGATTACCTCATCGCAATCAAACTTTCCTGAAATATAATAAAATATTGATCGAAAAACATGTCGTTTTATTCTAGTACATTGTGCGGAAGACTGAATGCTGATTGGCGATTGAATGACCTAATTGTGTCACTGTTTCGCTTCATGATAGCGCCTTTTTTCAATCTCACCATTTGTTATCACGGTGAATGAAATTCTTCTGCTTGTCTTCCAACAGCTACTGCAAGGGGCATTAAGTATTACTTCCTTCGTGTTTTATTGTTGTTTTCACTACTAGAAATGATACATCATCATGTATTTCTAACAAATGCATTTTGACTCCCATAAACTATCTTCACTGTATTTCTCGTCTTCATTTGTGTAAATCAAATCGAAAGGTATATGTACATATTGAACTAAATGAGTGGAATGTCATATCATGCATTACCTGGACTGTCTACCAATGAGCCGTTCATAGCTTATGGAATCCAACCTGGGTTCGTCAAACAGGTTAGAGAAAAGTTTCAAAGTGAAATATCTATGCATGAGCTCTCAAAGAATTCACAAAGTTTTACGAAACATCATTCAGCCACAGCTCGGCTTGCAAGTGAGTATGAAAATATACTACACAATGAGTTAAGAATTCAAAGGCATAACACCTACCCTAGTAGAAGAATTCAATCAGCAGGAAGAGTTTCCGACTCCTCTTATTCATCCAACAGGAACACACACGAATTTTCAAGACCTTCAGACAGAGAAAATTTATCGCCTTCTAATGACTTGAAAAAGAACATCAATAGCCAAGGGAATTCAAACGGTATTTCTCAAAGTCATTCCAATCAAACAGCTACAATTACTAGAAACCATTCCGTCAAACTTTGCAGGTTTGATGATGATTCGTCAGTCAAAAAGAAAGAAATGTATAGCAACAGGTATTCAAAATCATTCTCTTTTTCGAAACTTAGTGGATTCGGCAATAATTCACGTGAATTCGCACCAGTTTCTCACATTAACAATAAACCAAACTTCGAATTCAAACAACCTGCAACGCTACCAAAACCAACAAAAAGTGAGTTAATGCAGGATCCTTTGGTTAATTTCATGATCCCAAGGGGATTTCAAGCAAACAATCAGTTCAGTCAACGTGCTTATGATACTGATGCATTCAACAACACTCGTAAATCTCCTCAGTTACTTGCTGATAATGTTGAAGGCGATAAACTTAATCTGAATAACCACCTTCATAATAATTTGGCGACTCAAGGAAAGCATCTGAAAGGAAATAAAACAATAAAAATAGACCCTAGAAATACTCAAAACTCGAGTTTACCCTTTAAACCTGTGGGAAATATTCACATGGACAATCCCCAAAACACCAAATTACTTGATGACTCCTATGAGGCTGGGAATAAAAATCAAATCAACAGTAATATTCGCACAACAATGGGTGATGGCCACAAGAGTATGGAGTATTTAAATACTAAAGAAAACAATCATGGCGGAAAAATGCATGTAATTAGAACAGTATCACAAGGTAATATAGTTCACAAAACTAATAGTAAAAGTGGTGACTTTCAAACTCTTGTGCTACCAGTTGTTTCAAGTGAGTCTAGAAACAACACTACATCATCTGGTTCTGTTCCACCAACATCCATATTATCTCCATCTCAGTCTCAATTTAACATTGTGAATGGAAATACTTCCTACTCATCAAAAAGAAACACCCACAGTGAACCAATTTGTAATTTCACCTCAGCAAACAGTACGATCTACTCTACCAAACTTACGCAAAATTTGAAGAAAAGAGAAACACATGATGATGGGAACCAGATTTCTCTTCACCCTGATGGTTCTCCCAATAATGGAAATCTGCCTGCTGCTGAAGCACCTCCAGCATTACATAAAAGTGAATTTAAAGTTAGCAATGTGCCACAGGTCACCCACCTAAGCACCAAGCATAATGAAGAAGTTTCGGTTTCAAATACCACTCCTCATTCTTCTGGTCCCATTAACTCAACAAAATCACCTCTTCCAGTGAATCCCGAAAATATAGATAGGGTTGAAAGCAAGCATCATGCTGTAGGTGAAAATGGATGCTCTCCAGAAAACACTGACAAAATCACCGCTTCAGAATCAGATACAGCCTGTAAACAGAATGTGAAATCTTCTAACCTTCCATACCACAAAAGGCAAGTAAAATGTTCTATTCTGGACAGTGTAATGGGTGAAATGCAGCAGCTGTTTGCAGGGAAACAAACAAAAACACCAAGCAAAAAAGCAAAAATACATGATTTTGCGAGGGAAAAGGCTATGCAGTGTAGGGAAGAAAGAGAAGATGATATGAACAATTTACCAAAAAGCACAAATGTAACTGAATCAACGGAAAATGAGGTTGCGGAACCAAATCCTGATATTCGAATTGCAGACACATCTGCGTCTACCGCAGTAGATAATTTTAAAAGACAGAAACAATCCAAGAGTTTTCAATCAGCACTTCTAGCGGTCGAAAAAAATCTGAAACTGGTTCGTTTTTCAGAAGGTAATGATAGTTCAAACCTTGTTAGTGCAACTGATGAAGGTACAAAACATTGTGGTCAGAATGTCAACGGAAGTTTACCAGCCGATTCCGACATGAGGAAAAACATATTTGAGCCGTACAATGTAAGTTTGATATTAAATAACACTTTAGCCAATGATGTTTTAAAAATGAGCTTTCAACTATATTTACTGCAATATCTGTGAGCGATCCAATATCCAAAAATTTTTAAATTGTTAGTGGTGTTGAGTGAATATACTATAAATGTTCTTGGAATAGGAAAAGATGGTTTGGTACAGTGTATGTATTAGGCTTAGGTTGCTGGACTGAGTTTTAGACAAATTTTAATACAGGTCTATCCATTTAGAAACAAGAGGTCGCATAAATCTAATCACGAAATATTCTGGAAAATCAAGTCAATGATTTTATGAAGTAAAAAGATTATGACAACAAAACTTTAGAGAGAAGAGAACAAGAAGCTTAGCAAAAACATCTTTTCAGTGATTTCATCCTCAAAAGCTGTACAGCCACATTTATATACATAAGTTTACATAGACACCCACAATAACGACGGAGATAAAGGCGAAAATAATTTTTAACTTGATATGAAAGTTCGGATATGTGAGTATAGATTACAAGGAGCTCAGGAAAATAATTTCACAGGATAAGAAAATATTTGCGTGATGTGTGAAACAGTCTTTGTTCAATGAAGATGGATGTGAATACTATGAGCCTGGAAACAAATTGAAGTGCTAGTTTTTATAAGTGAAGATGAAAAGATAAAGGGAATGAAAAAACAAATGAAAACTAAATGATCAAACCGAATTAGGTCTGTGATAAATGCAGATGATGGACTAGCTTCTTTTGAACTCATCTTTTAATTCCTTTATATTCCCATTGGAGCTTACGGCTCAAAGCAAGAGGTTTGAAGTTTCGGTAGCAGTAGCTTTTATTTTTACAGGATGGGATCACTAGCCCCATGCCTAACGTTCCCTCTCTACCAGTCTTATTTTTGGCTCAGTGAGGTGAAGGAGTGTGTCGGCCGGGGATCGAACCCCGAACCACATTCGTGGTCGGCGAGCATTTTACCGCTGCGTCACCGATGCATAGCTCCAGCTTTTTTATGCATATGGCGAGGGCTACTGAACTAGGATGAATTAGGGAAACATAGTGCCTTTGGCAGATTTTTGTTCACTTTGTAGATAATTCTGAATGATGAGTCAGTTAAGATGATGTGACAGATGTTGACGAGATATTCAATTATGGCGCTTCTGACTGAACTAGTGCAGCCGCTTTGTAGCCATGCTGGATAATGTTCTCCAACACATTTTGAAAGGATGTGTATAGAACAGTTTATAATAAAACTTACGGATGTACTTTCATTAGTGATTGAATTAGGGAAATGCTTGAATTAAAGCATTATAAGTGATGAAGATTTCATTCTCATGAAAAGTTTCAGGTATATTTAGTTAAATGTATATATCTAAAAGATTTGCATACTTATCCATGTTGCAGTGTCGTTCTTTTAAAAAATTCTTATAACATAACTATCAAAATTGCGCTGTTTTTATCTGAAACTGCTTAAAAGTATACGTTATGCATTTGCTTGCTCGCAAGCTAGTTTTTATTTCTTTGTTTTAATATGTTCATGGATTGGCATCATGTAGAAAGAAATACTGTCTCTTTTCTACACAGAAAAAGTAGATGCAATTTATTTAACATTTTTAATTTACATTGATATTTTTGCATACTAAACCTCTTTAGACTTGATTGAAATTAAGCTGTTAGTAGATTGGTAAATATTTCGAATAAATAATACTTACTTAACGAAGGTTTTAAACACTGAATATAAGAACTTGTCTATGAAGTCAGTTATTGAAGCTAAAAGAATAACAACAATGAAGTAATTTCTAAAGAACAAAACAAGGCGCGATTGTTTCGGAGTTCAGTTATCTTTTTCCGCCATTCCAATTTTTTTTCCTTCACGTTTACCAGTGGAACATAGGGCTTCAAGCTTGTGGCTTGAAGTTCCTGTGGTAGTGCTTATTTCACAAGATGTTGTTGCTAGCCTCATGCCAAACCTTTCCTCGTTACCAGCATTAATTCTGTCATAGCGAGGTAAGGGAGTGCGTCGGCCGGGGATCGAACCTCGGACCGTGTGCATGGTAGCGAGCGTCCTAAGCACTATGACACCGACGCTTATTTAGCTTATTTTAAACAATCTAAATAAATGCTTGTATCACAAATAAGAGCACGCATATAAACTTATTCCGAAAAATATGAAGAATATAAATATGACTGTAATATGCATAAGACAGATTGACAGTCAGTGATGACGAAATTAACAGGGTCAAAATGTTTTGCCTTTGAAGAACAAGATATTTCAAGTAACACCAGCGCGAAATCCTTTATTTTTCTGTACCTTATATATATATATATTCGTTATACCCATTTAAAGTGATTTTTGATAGTGTTATCGAAGTCTGAATCTACATTTCGCTCTACCTATGGTGTATGACATATGTTATGAGATTTCAACATTCGAAATTTATCATAAACGCAATTCTCAAATACGAAGTCACTTTTACTTAAAACTTACTGAACACTGATAGAAGAAAATCAGCACTATGTATTTCAATATTAGTTTACCTTATGCCATACAGTTACACAGAATCATTTACTATTTGAAGTCTTAGACAAAGTTTAGTGTTCATAATTATGTCAAATTTCACAACTTCGAAACTTGATTTATATCATTCTAATTCTTTGTTAGTTGAATGTACTGAGACAACATGAAGTAGAAATGACTCAACACCAGTCGCAGGCACCTTCTGCTCTTATAATAAACAAAAAAAAGAAGAATCAGAACTGTACAAACAATTTTTTGAAGTTGAAAAGTTACATTTAATATGATCATGAATTATAAACTGTTTTTTTTTTTTTAAATGTCACCTAATAACTGATACCGTTTTACAATCTAACAGGGAAACTCAACGTAATTCTAAGCTGAATTATTCCGAACACGGTCAAGCAAATGACTTAAAGTTAATTTATCTGAAAACAACACATGGCTAATCTTTGAGTTTACGAACTTATCTGAAAGTAGAAATGACGGTCAAACAAAAGATTCTTCTTTCACTCTATTTCTTCTCTATAAAATATACTACCAAGAATGACAGCCACCATAGGATAAAGCAGAAGTGAACTAAAATAATGATAATGGTGACCAAATCATTAGCTGATAATAGTTTCTTAAGTCTTTGGAATTTATATTATCATTTCCTTGGGTCCCGAGTTCTGCATAAGGCTTCAATAGAACATCTTCATTCCACAATGTTCATTATAGTCCTCTTCAGTTGGCTGGCTCCAAGGTTATCCCTAGGCCTTCAACTCCTACTCACACGATCTCTTCCATGTCACCGTCAGACGCCCAACTCGTTGTTGCCCATTGGGGTTTCACCTAAGAGATGGTTAAACACGTGATGCCACCCAACGGTTTCCTCAGTGTGTATCATACCCATCTGTATATTCTTCAGCATATTTATTGAGTAATCGGTTCTTGATTAATTTCTTGTTGCTAATTCTTTCTATCCACTTGATTTTCAGTATGGAGAGAAGGCAGCTGTTGATGAAAGTCTGCGGTCTGTTGGAAATGTTTTTCATGACGCGCGGAGATTTTGATCTGTTTGGAATTAGTGACTTAACATTTGTGTTGAAAATCCGAATCTTGTTCTTAATGCTGCGGAGTGCCTAAGGTTTCCAAAATTATTTTAAAGTGACACAGGCCTACCTTGTCTTTCCGATTCTGGTGTTGACACCTTCATCCGTTAAACCTGTAGTTGAAATGATGATTCCTAGATAGATGAAGGAAGTGATCTCCTTAAAATTTCCCCAGTTGACAGTGACTGGTACTTGTTGCTGTTGGTTGGTTATCTTCAACGCCCCTGTTTCTTCTATGTTTTTCTTTAAGCTTTCGCGAATTGGTTCTAAAAATGTTTGTTATACATGACTTAGTTGATTTCATAAATATTATTATCTATTACTTCATTTTAATTGAGTCTGAATGAAACAATATTTGAAAATAAGCTTCTTTTTATGCTTGACACTGATCTGTATAAATGCATGTCCTTTTGTTAAAGTTTTGCTGGACAAAATCACAAGATAATTTTCCACCTCCCTAATAGATATGCAAATTCATATAGGACCAAATTTTTAAAAATCCATTCAAAGAACTGTATATACTTTCCCAATGAATAACCATAAACCGCACTCACTAAGTGGACACTGATCACATTAGTTTTAAACACTTAGGCTGTCTTTCATCAGTACTTATTTAGTATATCCTTGTGCATGACACTTGATCATAAAGAAACTCATTATGTACGCATGCATTACATATGTGTTCGTCAAAAATGGTTGTACTATCTTATTTTTTCATTCGTAATTATTAGAAGGTTGGAGGCAATCGGTAGGAAGCTTTCGACCTAGGTTTCGTGCTCGTAGGCATTCAACAGTCAGCAAGGAGTATCTGAAATCTTGAAAGAACTCATATCCCTCCTGAGATTCGAACCCGTATCACTCAGTGCCAAAGTCAGAGACATGACCACTGAGCTATTCGGGCTCACGATTGGCCTCCTGTAGGACTGTATTAAATAATTTCGTCGGCCTCCAGGTAGTACCTAGTGTCATTTGTCTAGCCTTTTGTTTAGTGCAGGCTGAATTCTATCAGTCAAGTCATTTTTAATTACTTTTTGATTAAGCTAAAGGTTGTAATGTTTTCAAATAACTTACTGAGTCGTATTAAAAATTACGAATCAGATGCAAATAGTTTATTTGTTTCCTCAGTTCTTCACACTACTGCTGATATAAACAATTTTTAAAAGCCAGTAAAGTGAATTTCAGTTTATTTGATTTGATTTGTCGCCATGGCTTCTAGCTTTGAGTTTAGTTTAAAGAAATACAACTAATAACTAACAGTAAATCTTTAAATTTTTGGATTTATTTAAGGCAAACAAGATAAGATATATATGAAATACCTCATCATTAACCCAAAGCTGGTATACTCTTGCTAAGGTTACTTTTATTTAAATTACTAGCGTATAACAAAGCATTCTATATATTTGGT